AACTAGATCTCGAATGTGAGCATTGTAATCTAAAATGGTTTCAGTTGGAAGTTTAGTGACATCAAATTCCACATGATTCGACGTCCCCCCAACAACATTTAAGCTGTCCAAATCAGTCTTTCTTTAAAAGAATCTCTTCATTTTATATCTGGATATAAAAATTTGATATCCAATTAAGACTTCGTGCAATACTCAGGTGCAATTATATAAGTTCTAGTAGAAGCATTCATAAAGTTCAACCAAGTCCAACAATTCAGATAAAAGCATTCAAAAAGTTCAAATCAAACCGAAAGTATGATAAACAAATTCAACATTTGAGATACAATCAGACAAAGACATGACACATGAGCAACCAGTCCAGTCCAACCAAGTCCAACATCCAAAAATTGCCCAAAAAACTCTCATTCACCGAATCACCAAACCACAAAACCACCGAATCACCAAAAAATTCTCATTCATGATTCACCGAATCAGTAATAACCAATACCAAACCACATAATTACCAACAAAAAAAAAATTCAACAGGGGAAAAAATCACCAATGCCCAATACGGTTTATGCAAAATCAACAGAGGAAAAACAATAGCTAGACCTTTCTAGGGCTCGAATATAGATCAAAGAGGAAAATATAAATCAAAGAGGCTAGACTTACAGTTGGTCTAGGGCTCGAATCGAAATCACGGCAGAGTGGGCAGACGACAGCAGTGCTGGTGCACACATGTGATTCTCGAAGGCTCGAAACAGAGTGGGCAGATCGCATACGGCAGTGCACTCGAAGTAACTACTGGCAGGAGGAGATGCTGAATTGCCGATGGGGTTGAAGGACTGAGGAGAGGCGAAGGTGGGGTTGAATTGAAATCGAGGCTGAGGTTGGAGAAATTGAAATCGAGATTTGGGGTTGGGCTAGGAGATAATTCCATGTGTTGATTTTAATTTTTTGGAATGAGTTGGGTAGTTTCTTGGGCTAGGAGAGTAATTGACTTAAAAAAAAAATCTGGGCCGGGGTCGAGCCCAGAAGTTCAGGGTGGGCCTATGCCTACCCTGGTCCTTATTAGGCTCCGTCCCTAGTGATATTGATAGTTTATAGACAAAACATTCAAACCTGCAGATTTTTTTTCACCAACCCTAATTAACGGCCAAAGTTTTTCTCTATGTTTAATATGTATAATTTTCAAAATCTTGCTACATTGCCAGAAAATCTTACTAGCTTGGTTGACATAATGATACATGACAGTCTGTCATTGGTCAATTTAAAAAAAAAAAAAAAAAACAATTTTTTCATCAATCATTCACGGCCACCAATGTACATGTCATCCAAGGTGGTAAATTCATCTAGCAAGAAAGCATTATTCTAATTTTCAAGTAAGTTATACTACATGTACAAAGTTGGATTAAGAAGTTGGTTGACAAAATAACATCTACACCAATCCTTTTAAAAACAGATATTTAAATCATTTGAAATCAACGCTCTGGATTTTGCTAACACGCTTTCTACCCCAACTTTTGTAACTCAACTTTGTACAAATAATTTTATTGNCAAAGTTGGTTGATAAAATAACATCTACACTAATCATTTTAAAAACAGATTTTTAAATCATTTGAAATCAACGGTCTGAATTTTGCCAACACACTTTGTAACCCAACTTTTGTAACTCAACTTTGTACAAATAACTTTATTGTGTTTCAAGTTGGGGCAGCTTTTTTTTTTTAACATAATTAGTGGACTTACGTCACGATTCCAAGAACATTAGTATATATACGTACTATTGCTTCCTGTTGCTGCATGTCTTTCTTTCTAAAAAACAGGGAGTGTTTCCAAACATAAACTCCCATCCCAGTTTTCATTCAATAGATAATTACACTTTTTATCGGTCCGTATCCGAGCCTCTAATTGTCCTAACTGCAAGATTTTCTAGTTTGGTGGACTGTTTTGCCAATAAAGGTCTGACTTACTTCCCATTTTCAGCAATCGGAAAGAAAAGGAGCTTTGAGGTAAGAACATTGGATTTTGCATTCTGGCAAGATATAATGGCTTTGGATCATGTTATAAATTGTTCTAGTTTGTCATAAGATTTGATGAAGTTTGAAATTTTATGCTGGTTGTCTACTTACCACAAAACCTTCTTCCTTTACTCTAGCTTGAGAACTGGTTATAAGAAACTTGGCTGAACTGTTCTAATTTTTGAGATGGAAATTTCATGAATATTTCGAAGATGGGAAGACAGTTTAATTTATCTAGTAGGTTTTAAGTAGAAAAATGATAACATCTACTCAACCAGATTTGCAATTTTATGAGCACTGACACTAGCATATGAATTTATATGTGACTGAAGTATTATTTACCTTTCATTTGTTCTGTATCGTTGAGTGAATAATTGAATTCTGATATAATTGGCACGTCCCCATGTTTTTGCTTTTGATTCCTGCTAATGGGAATCATATATTTGTCGGAAATGAACATGGTACTTTTGGGGGAAAAATTGATTTTTGAATAGTGATATGATGGGAAATGTGTAGTTGAAAAAGAAGAAAAAATTATTGATGTGATGAAAAATTTTATTTTATTAAAGAATATGTAGTTGAAAATGAGAATTAATTTGAGAATCAATTCTCAAATAAAAAACAAACACCCCCCTATGTTTTCCCTTTCTTTGTAGGTATTATTTCTTTGGTTAAAAACCATGTTAGAAACAAACAAAATACCAGAAACGCTCTTATACCACTTGTTAAAAATCCGCCCAAATAATTAAAAACGAGAATAATATGTGTAATATGAAAATAATGGATCACATAACATCCAAGATTTATATGGAAGAAAATGAGGATTTATTATACCAATAAACTAAAAATTTTTTTATAAGATTTGATTCTCTTAATCTAAATTTAAACAATTCTCTCAAGTTTCTAATGTATACAACAATAATTGTTGTTTTGAGTCTTTATTAAGTTTTTCAAAAGCCTACACCTTGTAGAGTACATATATGAGTCAAATTTTGGAGTTATGGATGAAGCAAAAACACAAAACCGCTTCAAAAACCAAACAAGAATGAAATTCCTACCGCACACGTGACGCCGAGGTGCCGAGACCCGATTCTATCTCAAAACAATCCGAACATGTTTTTATCAATTCTAAAGTTCTTTTTCCAATCAAACTCTCAATCTATAATAAAATTTGATCTCTTATTAAATTGGACTTCCAAACCAATATTATCTAGACTTCCTCCTTGAATTAAACTTTCAATTCACATGGAATTTGAGTGACAAAATATAACAAACTCCACATTGACACAAATTCCATAGCAAAGAATTAAGTCTTCACTCTTCAGGTCATTCTCCAATTCTTCCACCATACCCTTTCGGACACCCCATGCCCTGTAGGGCATACTTAGCAACTGTGAACTAAGTCCAAGCCATACCGAACTACTTTGGGTGCCATCGTTGCTTGAATCATTCCATTCACTTGAGGCTCCGGTCTAATCAATAAACCTGCTTGAATTACCACGAGCAATTCTAAATCCACCCGAGTTACAAAACCTACTCGAATCACCACGAGCAACATGATCAATGATATCACAACAAGCTCCTCTTGATTCGAACCAACGAACAACCCAATCATAACCAACTCTATTCGGGCTATTGCTTATTGAACTTTAAGCTGCAACTACATCCACAGTGACCGCCGAACCTTCTAGCACTTATAACAAGGACTTTCTCCACCTTATTAACACAACTCAGACACCCTTGCCAACTTTCAGAACTCCACCTCTACCGGTATACATACACCCTTTTGAATCAAGAGTACTCAAAGAGATTACATTCTTGTTTATAATTGGAACATGTTGAACCTGACCAAGTGTTCTAACCGTCTCATCAAATTTCTTGATTTTGATATTACAATCCTAGTTATTTTACAAGGCTAATTATTTTCCATAATCAAAGATCCCTTATAACTGTTTCATATGAAAAAAATCAATCCTGATTTGAACACATATTAAAAGTGCAAATCGAATCAAGAGTCCAATACTCATTAGGTTTGCAGACACCTTTAGTAATTGCCCAAAGATCTCAATCACTGTCTGTTTCTGCAAAATTGACATTATTGAAAATTTTTGTTCCTTTTGATCTGTACTAGCAAACTTGTTCCGCCACTTATAGCAATCCCTCTTCAAGTGGCCCTTGTTATTGCAAGACCAACAGACTTTACAATTGTTGCTCTCATTAACTATACCCCTTCTTTGACCACTTGTCTACCTCACAGAAACAATAAGACCCTATGCTTTGGCCATGCTTCATCTTCTCCTTAAAATATAGCGTCATATACCTCGTTAATAGTAATAGTATCCCGAATATAGAGAATGATATTTCTAAAAGTCATATATGAAGCGACAACGACCATAACAATATCAACCTTAAATCTTCTTCATCATACTTGACTTTCATGATCTCTAAATCAACGACAATTTTCTTGAACACAGATAGATGATCTTCTAAAGATCCACCTTCCGCCAAGCTATGTAAATACAAGTGCTACTTCAAGTGTAACTTACTTGTCAAACTCTTTGTCATACAAAACTGCTCTAATTTTAACCACAACCCAACTGCACTTTTCTCCTTTATCATGTCTTGAAGAACTTAATTGGGAAGATGTAGATGTATCTATAATAGAGTTTTTCGATCCTTGCATTGCTTCTCCTTCGTAGTGATTGTTGCGGGTATTTTATCTATTCCCAACAAAATATCATTAAAATCCAATTGAGTAAGAACCGCTCGCATATAGATTTGTCACAAAGAAAATCTACTGTTGTTATCCAAAATCGGAATCTCAAATTTCATAGTTAAGATCCCTAAAATAATCAACCTTGTTCAAACATCGCTTTAATAACCAATTTAAACCTCCCAAGAACCTTTAAAAAACCTTCAGCTTTGATAACACTTGTTGAGAATCCGATCAAATAATTAAAGACGAGAATAGTACCAAAATTTATGTGGAAGAAGAGCAGAATTTATTATACCAAAAAATTAAAATTGTCTTTACAATATTTGATTCTTTCAATCTGAATAATTATCTCAAGTTTATAATGTATACAATAATGATCTAATTATTATCTTGAGTTTCTCTTAAATCTCTAAAGAGCCTACACTTTGTAAAGTATATATAGGGGTCAAAACTTGGAGTTATAGATGAAGTAGAACACAAAATCGTGTCCAAAACTAAATAGGAATGAAATTCCTGCTGCACAGTGAGGTGTCGGCCCTTCTGCTACTCTTTTGCGTCGCCGGCGCTTGGGTTCTGTACCAAAACGTTCCAAACATGTTTTTATCTGTTCTAAAGTCATTTTTCTAATCAGACTCATAATTCATGATGAAATTTAATCTTTTATCAAACCGGACTTCCTAACCAACATTATCTAGGCTTCCTTTATGAATCAAACTTCCAATTCACATGGAATTTGAGTCAAAAAACATAACAAATCCCACATTTATTGTTTAGTTTCTTTTGGTACCGTGTGTTACCTCCTACTGGGCATCAGATATTCAGAAAGCTGTTAATGATAAAAATATGAAGCTGAATCTCTAAAATTCTTGACAAGATTTGATGACAAATTACAGAGGTCCTCTTTCAAGGGACACAATAGCACGACGAGAACGGATTCATGTTTTCTTACTTCGTGACATAAACCTAGTTATGCTTTCTGTTTGTCAGGAATTCTTCCTAACAGAAACTTGTACATTTACAGGTTCTATTGCCTTATCATGGAAAATAGCAAACAAAACCACGTGTCAGCGGAAGATTCCCCTGAAGTGCTTCCGTCACTTATGAAAGCTATTGCTTCGAATGAGGTTGCTGGCTTTGATAGCATTAAAGAGCTCGATGATGTGAACGACAGATTCAAATCAAATGGCCATCCTCCCAGCTCGTTAGCTATAGTGAGTTCGTAATCTTATGCTATTCTTCAGTAGTGCTCGTGATTATTCAGACTTGAATGGACAAGTGAATATAATAATGTCGATAAACATGAGTACCTCTCGACTCAGTTCAAAAAATTGTTATTCACCGTATACTTTTTCCAAATTATCCCAAAAATTTCATTTTTGTTTCAATTTTGCCACTCTTCTACGTACCTCCGTCTTTCGAAAGCTAAGAAATGGCCGGCTTGTATGATGGAAATGATAACATGGCTTAAAAATTCGGTTAATTTATTGGTTTCGTTATCCAGAATGGCAAAAATTCTTATATAAAAAATCCAATGCATTTACAGAAATGAGAGTTGATTTATTGATACGTGTGTTTTGGTTNATTCGGTTAATTCATTGGTTTCGTTATCCAGAATGGCAAAAATTCTTATATAAAAAATCTAATGCATTTACAGAAATGAGAGTTGATTCATTGATACGTGTGTCTTGGTTTATATCTGCAATTCAACACCTTACTAATATATTACTATTTATTTAATACTCTCAGGCAATTGAAGAAGCTGATGTGAAAGGACGAAATGATTTTTCTGAGTCTCAGATTATGCATTCTGTTTCGATCAGCATGTCATCTTCTCCAATTGAAGATCATTTGAAGGACATGAAAAAGGTTCTTTTCAGAGATGACTTTGGAAAAAAATTGTGCACTGATATTCCCAATTCTGCAGCTACATTCCAAGAGAAATGTGCTCAGGGAATGCCACAAGGTTCGGCATTTCCTAGTAGACAATCTCCCAACAGGACAGAACTCCCACCAAGGAATCCTAGGATTGATAGGCTAAAGGATAATATGTACGGCGTTTTCAGGACGTGGTCTGGGAAACCTGAGAGACAGATATCAAATTTGAGTGGTAAGCCTCAGGAACCTGAGCAAGATTTTGAGATTCCAAAGCCTGCAGAAGTCGAAACTATACCTGTGGACCGATACTTTGATGCCTTGAAGGGACCAGAACTGGATACCCTACGGGTATGTGTTTTCTATTGATCAATCTTGTCGTTTAACTTGATAAGCATCATTCTTCGACAATTGAATGGTAGCATTTGCAAACCATATGCAGTAGACTAGTACTGATCTGGAAGAAAAATGAAATTTCTTGAAAGATATTTTTTTCTTCAGAGTGTCATGTATTATCACATTACAACATCATCGAGAATACATGTGCATTTTTATGGCAACCTAATTACCCCAACAAAAACCATTAAAGATTGTTGCAGTAGAATTTCACATCTTTGATTCAAAAGTCTGATTATATTGAATTAATAATCATTCATGTTATTTATACACATAAAAAGAACTTTGAATATAATTGTAGAGAGAGTGTGCCATTTAAGTAAAAATAACTTAGTTTTATTATGTCTTATTGGTAATAATTTCTTATATATTCTCCAATAATGAGTACTATAAAGCAGTTTTATTCTTCCACCAGTATTAAAGTAGAATTGTGTTGTTTATTTACCGTAAATGATTGGTTTCTCCTTCACAGGCACCTGAAGAAATACTTCTTCCTGAAGATAAGCAATGGCCATTCCTTCTACGCTATCCTATCTCTTCTTTTGGTATCTGTCTTGGTGTTAGCAGCCAAGCCATTATGTGGAAAACTCTTGCTACTTCTTCCTCTACGAAGTTTCTCAATGTCAGCCCCTACATAAATCTAGTTCTATGGTGCATATCTCTTGCTCTTATGGCAACTGTCTCTATCATTTACGGTTTGAAAGTGATATTCTACTTTGAAGCCGTTCGTCGTGAGTTCTATCACCCAATACGTGTTAACTTCTTCTTTGCTCCGTGGATTGCCCTTTTGTTCTTGGCTCTTGGAGTTCCACCATCGGTTTCTGAAAACCTTCATGCATATCTGTGGTACGTTCTTATGACCCCGATTTTTTGCCTTGAGCTTAAGATATATGGAGAGTGGATGTCGGGAGGACAACGGAAGCTTTCTAAGGTGGCGAACCCCTCAAATCATCTCTCTATTGTCGGGAATTTTGTCGGTGCATTGCTTGGTGCATCCATGGGGCTGAAAGAAGGACCTATTTTTTTCTTTGCTGTTGGATTGGCTCATTACATTGTATTATTTGTAACTCTCTATCAAAGACTTCCAACAAACGAGACACTTCCAAAGGAGCTCCACCCAGTATTCTTTCTCTTCGTTGCCGCACCTAGTGTTGCCTCTATGGCATGGGCTAAGATTCGAGGTTCCTTCGATTATGGAGCACGAACTGCCTACTTCATCGCTTTGTTTCTTTATTTCTCACTGGTTAGTTTTTCAAACACTAAAGCTTAGTATTTATATGGATCTGGTAAAGAGGATTGGAACTCATTGGACAATATTAAGGAAGAAAAAATCAGTTAAAATTTTGTTCATTATATTGTTCAGCTGTGCATACCAAGCATGCATAGTTGTTTCTGTGCTTGACATGTATAGCTAATTTTCCTTTTTCTTCTATCTTATCCAGGCCGTTCGTGTTAATTTCTTCCGAGGCTTCAGGTTTTCATTGGCATGGTGGGCTTATACTTTCCCAATGACTGGAGCTGCCATTGCCACAATCAGATACTCAAACTTGATAATGAATCCAGTAACCAAAAGTTTAACCGTCGTCCTTTGTGCTGTCTCTACAGTTACAGTGTCAGCGCTTCTCGTAACAACTATAATTCAAGCCTTTGTACTAGGAAACCTTTTCCCAAACGACATAGCCATAGCGATTAGTGAGAGGAGGCCTAAATCCCGAAGACAGTACCACAGAAGAGCTGGCAGTTCAGATACTAAAGACATCGATCAATACCTCTAATATATAGATTCAGATGGCAAAGATATTGAGGCTTCTCTTACAACTGCGAGCTCCAACAACCAGGAGGTTTCTTCTTCTGTTTTGAAAGTTGTCCAAAACAATTATTCTCAAAACATGCCGCTGCCATGAAATCTTTATGACATATTTAGTAAGTTGAATTCCACAATACTAGTATTAAAGAAAAAAAATTAAGTAAAAAAATTAAATTGTTCTATCAAGTCATGTCGACTACTATTTACCAAACATACCATTTGTTGGAAATTTACTTAACATGCACAGCGGAAAATAAATTATTTTTCAATTCTTACCAAGAATCTGATTTGTGTTTAGAGAGAAACAGTGATAGAAATTATACATTCGATGAATTTTGAAAACTCCTTTTCTGATTCTCGTACACGAACTACAATCACGAACTACAATCTACAACTGTCCAATTGTCCAGGCTCTAATGGAACATGGGAAACAAGAAAAAGAACTAGGGTTTTTTTTTCCTTTTCTTGTGTTAGCAAAAATAATAATAATGATGTGTGTTTATTTTCAAACCTTAGTGGCCTATTAATAGAAGTCCAAGTGGGCCCAACCTGTCTCTTAAACTTAATTCGGTCCTCTATTTATTTAATCCAATTAATTAAATCATGTACATGAATTAATTAATCTAATTAGTTAATTTGAGTATATTAATAAGCAACCAAACTAATTAATTGTACAACGATTGTAAATTAATTAATTGAAATTTCATGTTTCTGGTTCTCCTTTTGTGTGAGACTCACCAGGTTTCTGATCACGATGTCTAACGACGTCAATTATTATTATGATATAATCAAAATCGACAAATGAAAATGCCATATCATCAATTCACATTCGTCATCCCAAACTGATATCTAGCAATGTGTCAGGTAATACATGTAACAGGAAATGTTACGTGGTATGACAAAACTAAATTTGTTCGTTTACCGTGAAACTATAATCCCTTCATCAATATGATCCGATCAATTACGATATATAAATGTGTGTCAATCTCAATTATCAATCATATCTTTCATCTCACTATTAAGTCATTGTGAGTCGAAAACTCCTTTTCAACTTATGAGTTCACCTCGGCCAAAGATTTCATTATCAACTTAATTGAATGAAATGTAGATCATAATCTCTTACTATCTAGAAGTGACGAATTCTCTATTGATCATCCAGAAGTTTCATATGATTTTTGACATACCCGAACGATACCATATTAGTGATCGTTGGCAGAGCAACATCTAACATCACCAAAACATGACTATCCTTATATAACTTCTTGATCCAACAACTCCAAGTTCGTTAATGAACTTCTTGATCCATATGACTTCCTTTGCTGCTTCAGAATCAGAAATATACTTGGCTTCTGTTGTTGAATCAGCGGTTGTCTCTTGTTTGGAACTCTTCCAACTAACCGCACCATTGTTGAGAGAAAACACATATCCAGATTGAGACTTGCTATCATCCTTATCA